AAGGAAGGAAGGAAGGAAGGAAGGAAGGAAGGAAGGAAGGAAGGAACAAGCTACATCCCTTTCACAAATGTAAAAACTAGAAATAAAAGAATTTAAACATCTGAATTTTTGCATCACAAGGAAAGAGGTCAATGATTAAAGAGGAGCAATATCATAAATAAAAATGCAGTTTGGAGTTCATTTTTGTTCTTGGCATGTCTTTGATGTTAATTAGGTCTTTCTATCACTTGATGGGGACAGAGTAGCATCTTGTCTTGAGTTTCATCTGTATGCCATCTCAGCATCTTCAACCAATTCTCACAGGTAACAAAAGCAGATCCTCACTAAAATAGAAAAGAGATTAAATAAAAATAATCTCTTTTTGGACCATGATATGCCCCAAGAAGTATATGCAGTACGCTGACATGCTCAGAACACATAGAAAGTATCTGTAGAACATGTTGGGTTATTTTAATGTGAGTGAAAGAATACATACCCAAGTAGGAAAAGAACATTCATATTTCTGTTCGAAACTTCAGCGTACTTCCTTTCATTTGCATCTTGTAATTCTCATCGAAACGCTCATTTTGTGCAACTGTGAATTGGTTCTTCCAGTCACCAGCAACTCCTAATTTGAAGGGAAAATAATAGCCAATATTAGTTTCCTTCATTTTCTCTGAGCCTGGTGATTGCTGGCAGACATTTCATTACCCAAATAGATAATGTTCTAAATGTCATTATTTTGCAAGAGAAGTCAATGATTTGTAGCTCAGGGTTGACCTATGGAGTCTTTTGTGTTCTCTGAACCTGGTTGCTTACAGACATTTTATTACGCAGTTAGGTATCAAATATTTTCTATTGCAACAGAACTACACTCAAAATTGGGTTAGGTAAAGTTGAATCCCAGCATGGGATCCATACATGTTGGACCTCAAGAACATTAAATAATTCCGATTTCACTGAAGGTATTGCCCAAATCTCTTGAAATGTTGGTAGCTTCCCATGAGTTTTAGGATGTTTTGTAGATTTACGTGAGATTTTTGGTGAATCCTTGAGTGATAGTTGCAGATCGCTATCTATATTTAAAGTATGTACAAAAACTGGTGTAGGTGGGTTATGATTATATGATGACACATATCAACAGGAAAAGTTTTGAAATACCAATGTATTTAATCATTGCCTAAAACTTGTAACATATGATAGCTGGAAAACTAATACAAATTTTTCTTCTCTCTCTCTCATTTTTCTGTCTCCTTTACAGTCAAGGCTACTCTTTTGGACACAGTTGGAATTGGGGGTAAGGCCTGTTTCCCCAATCCAGTCCTTTCTTTTTTGCCTCTAACCTGAGTGGTAGACTAAAAAACTTTAAGTCAGAGTTCCCCAACCAGTGAGTCTTCACAAGAATGTAGAATACAAGAGGTCCATAACATATAATTACAATTAAGCCCAACATTTGTATTGTTAAGCGAATTTTGCCCAATTTTATGAGCAAATTTATCATCTTTCTTGCCACGGTTGTTAAGGGAATGACAGCAGTTGTTAAAGTAGCAATGCAGCTGTTAAATCAGTGTTTCTCAACCTTGGCAACTTGAAGATGTCCAGACTTCAACTCCCAGAATTCCCCAGCCAGGGGAATTCGCTGGCTGGGGAATTCTGGGAGTTGAAGTCAGGACATCTTCAAGTTGCCAAGGTTGAGAAACACTGTGTTAAATGAATCTGGCTTCCGCACATTGGCTTTGCTTGTCAGAAAGTCACAGTAGGTGATCATGCACACAGCAACCATCATAAATGTGTCAATTGCCAAGGGTCTGAACATTGATCACATGATCATGAGGATGCTTCAATGGTCGTAAGTGCAAAAAACTGTCGTCTTATTTTTCAGTGCTATTGTTGTAACTTTGAATGATCATTAAATGAACTATTGTAACTTGAGCACTACCTATATGCTCCCTACTTTCCAGGGATGTAGTGGGGACTATTGTATGAGTAACATAAGCTCTTTTTGTTGAGAGGCTTCAAGACAGAAAGCGCCTAAAACTACTTTTCAAGGAACATGATGTGCTTGTGTTCCCCCCACCCCGAATTTACTTTCTCTAGAGAGAAACATTTAGAGGGGAAATGGGCAGAGATAAATGGAAGACTAATGTATAACATACTGCACATTTGGAAAAATAGGGAAGCAAGCACGAGACATCTATCAGCCTTACAAGGTAGATCAGATAGAAA